ATTGTATAATATTAACTATCATAACCTGGATAGAATGCTTAACAATGATAACCTAGAAAGAAATATTATTTGGAACATGTATCAGTCAACAAGCTTTCAGCTAAGTTGTAAATTACACAGAGGAATGTGTGCAAGACCCTTGGAGCTGGGTAGCGTAAAGTGCATTAAGTGTTCCATAAACAGATCTTTGCTGACTTAACACAATATTAATTTAAAAAAAAGAAAAAACTCAATGAACCAAACTACTACTTCCCATTCTGTCTTACCTGAGGCACCATGGGCCACCTAACACATGGCAGCAACCAAAGTGTGGACATGAACACAAACTGGTGCAGTCTGTTTGCCTTGTCAAGTATGACAATGCACAGTGCCTTCCAATGAAGAAGGGAACCACTTATTTGGCATCAGCTTTTCCCATAGTTTCTCCCATTTATTACGCTCCAGCCACATGGCTTTCCTTCTTTGTCTTCAACATGCCAGGCTTCATCCTGAAACTTCGTACTTGTTAGTGATTCTCCAGGTTACAGTTCCCAATAATCTGTGTATGTTTGTCTTCTTCTGATCCAAAAAGGCTTGGATTCAAAGTGTCACCTTTTCCAAGGGTCTTTTCCCAGCCCCTGAAATGACATATCAGCACAACCCTCACTTCTGAAGCTGCAAGTCACTGTCTTCGACATTGCCTTGCCTTACCTTCTCCATTGTACTTAAAATTGCCTAAAATATTTTATTATCTGTTTGTGTGCATCCTTGGTATCGAAATACCCCCACCTCTAAAACATAATGAAGGATGTTTCCTGCCTTGTGTATTTCTGAGTCTCTAGTTTGTAGCATTTTGCCCAAGAATTAACATAGGTTGGATGAAAGAGACATTTTACACCAAGACTAGCAATCACTATCTCCAGATAACAGCTCTTTAAAACACCTAGAGAGCAACCACTTCAGAATCCACCACAAGGGCAGAAAGTTTCCAGGGAGAAGATGTGTAAATTATAGGCCACCTATTGGTCTTTCTCTATAAGAGGTATTTCTTAGTTCTGTGGAAGTTTGGCAAGAAATAATAATTTAAAAAAGCAAAAGTAAAAACAACCAGTAACTCTGAAAGTCAAATAATTGTACCAGAAGAGGGTTACATTCATAATATTACTCATAGTGTTGGTAATTAGTATTCATAATGTTCATAGTGTCCCTCATGTTATTCTTCAGGTATTACTAGTGATAGAGTTATTTTAACCACATGTATCAATTAAAGAAAAACTTCAAATGCAACCATATTGGAAAGATGAGGAGAAGAACTGATGGTTCTTGGGTAGGGATGCAGGGATTGGAAGATGAGGTTTTATACTTTAACTTTAGTAAATAGATACCAACCAATCATGCACATATTTGAAAATCAATAGACACATAAGCCTATAATTTAAAATGGGTTAATGCCCAAAGACAGTAAGAAGTTGTTTATCTGTGGAGAGATAGGGAGGGGAGAAGTGAGACAGGAGTATATATAAGCCTGTAGAACTATTTGACATTTTAAACAACATATATGCTTTACATTAATAATTTTAAATAATTACAATAAGATATTTTAACTGAAAACATGCACATATGTAGAAATAGGAAAAAAACTAAAAACAAAATCTCAAATTTGATTTTTTGAAGGTTGTAGTGTTTAATTTCCGTTATATGCATTCACATGTTTGAATTTTGTATAGTTACTGTAGCATCAGTCAGAAGAGAGTACTCCCTGCCATGGAAATAAGTAACTCAACATATGATAATATCTTGTAAGACAGGGCACCTGGGTGGCTCAGTGGGTTAAAGCCTCTGCCTTCAGCTCAGGTCATGATCCCAGGGTCCTGCGATGGAGCCCCACATCAGGCTCTCTGCTCAGCAGGGAGCCTGCTCACTACCCCTCCCCTGCTCTGCCTGCCTCTCTGCCTACTTGTGATCTCTGTGTGTCATATAAATAAAATCTTTAAATATATATATATAAAATCTTCTAAGACAGAGGGCACTTCTCATCCATCCCACATTTCTAGTATGAGTTGGTGGAGGGAGCTTTTCCACATGTCCTCACCTAAGAACCAATTCTTACATCTTAAATTTTAAATATTGCTGGTCACCAGGACAAGGAAAAAAAAAAAACAAAACAAAACACTGAAGGGTTTTCTCACGAACAATTAAATGCTCAACTTAGAAGTGATATGTATAAATTCTAATCTAACTCATTGTCTAGAAATACTTCCACCTAAACCCAAAACGAGAAATATAATGCCATCATGTGCACAAATTGCAAAGAAATTAAAATAACTAGTGAGCAAAATGAATGACAAGTGCAGTCATGTAGAATTTTTTATTTTTTTTTAATTTTTTTTCAGTCTTCCAAAATTCATTGTTTATGCACCTCACCCAATGTTCCATGCAATACGTGTCCTCCTTAATAACCACCACCAGGCTCACCCAACCCCCCCTCTCCAAAACCCTCAGTTTGTTTCTGAGAGTCCACAGTCTCTCATGGTTAGTCATGTAAATTTCTATAATGAAATTTCACTTCTTATGTTTGGATCTTTAAAAAAATTATTAAAAGTTTTAAAAATGTAATGTTCCCCTTTGATGTACCATATTTCTCATTTCATCATCAATTGCATCCTGTAACTTAGGAAAAAGGTTTAGAAAAAGTTTGGGGGCCAGTACAGTTTCTTTTTGCTTGAACAGCTAGAATTGGCTTCTGTTGCTTGAAAGAAAAAAAATTCAGACTCTTAATACTATCTAAAATGTCCATGTTTATTTTTCTATATATGGAAGTCATCTATATTCCTTAAGAATATCCCACAAAAACTACTCTTTGAAGATGAATTCTGAGGAACAGAATGCCATAGGATTGCTTTGGGGGGTGAAATCAGTTAATATTTATAAAGCACGGACATCAGTGTGTCTTATAGGCCAAGCTCTGACTCAAGTGTTTTGTAAATACTAATTCGTTTAACCATTACACAACCCCATTGCATTTGGTCCTTATCATTATGGATAATGGGAATTTTCTCAAGTTTGGTATACAGGATAATATTATACACAGTCCCATTTCTGATTTAAAAAGTCAAAACAAAACAAAAACAAACAAACAAACAAACAAAAAAAACATGTGTTCTGTATTCAACTGGTTGAGTTTACATTCTAGCCTTAGCACTTTGATGTAACTAAACTGGGAATATTTCTTAATATTTTGGAGTTTCAGTTTTATCTACTGCAAACAGGATTTTATAAATGGGCAGGACTATTTCAAAGATTACATGAAATAAAGTATGTTCTATGCATAGCACTGTGAACAATCCGTATCAAGCCCTCAATAAATGTTAGTTCTCTATCATGTGAAGTGACGAATTCTATAGAATATTGTATTCTGATTCCCTTATCTTCTAGGCTCATTACTTGACAAGTTCTATAAATAACAGTACTGGAAGTCCTAAATGTTTGCACCTTACTGGTAATAGACATTTTTCATTCCAAGTAGTTATTTATAAATCATAAATTTAATTTTGATAATGAATATGATTGCCCAAGTAAGTAACAGAGTTTTATGGTTATACACAATCCCAGAATAAAGAAACCTATTTAGCTATAGGGAAGGGACTGCCTTTACAAAGAATATCAGTGACTCTTCTGGTGACTAATGCAGGCAGAATTTATATTATTTGTTTGTTCACTCCATTTCCCTAAGAGATTGCACAAATAAGTGAAGAGGAGGCAATTACTTTGTTAGATCTATTTTTTTTTTTTTTTCACTGAATGAGTCCTCTGGAGAAATACAACTGGCACAGTGAACATTAAACCTTGGAACTCACCACTGTATAGGGTTTTCCTCCTTTATGTTCAGGCTCAGTATTTTCCTTCATACATTGGAAAGTCTTTCCAGTAACAATGACGTCTTCTGGGGATGCTTCCAGGATGCTGATTGCATCCTGTTTCCCAGGTTGATTTTCAACTTAATCCAATTTTCTGAGACAGTATCTTCTACAGCACTGTTCCAACTTTGGGTCACAATTCTATTACCATCTTACTTTGCATTGGGGGCTGAATCATGTTTCTCTGAAATCCATATGTCAAAGTTCTGACTCCCCCTACTTTAGAATGTGACTATATTTGGAGGTAAGGTCTTTAAAGAGAAAATCAAAGTACAATGAAGTCCTAGGACTAGGTCTCAATCCACAATAACTGGATTCCTTATAAGAAGAAGAGAGTAGACAAAGACATATACAGAGTGAGGACCATGACAAGTACAGGAGATAACAACTTCCACAAACCAAAAGGGAGTCCTCAAAAAACCAGCATTGCTAGCACTTTGACCTTCAACTTCTAGCCTCTAGAACAGTGAAGATTAACTTTCTGATGTTTAAGCCCCCCAATCTGTGGTATTTGCTCTAGCAAACTCCTATAGTCTGTAATGGAGATTCACAGAATGTTTTGATAATGGAATGAACTGAGACCCACATTTTTGTATCATCATTCTAGAAAACTAAGCAAACTATGTCATTTTTTTTCTGTTCCAATTTAATCTCCAAATATTTAGATTAGTAAATTTTTCCCAATCTCATTCATCCCCTTTTTTGTAATAAGAAACACAAAATCTTTTCATTCTAGCTAAGTATTTGAACAATTTCAATTAGTGCACTTGTGAACACTGGTTCCAACAACCTTTTAAATGAATTAATTTTTTAACTTTTAATTAGTCCTCACTACTTACTTCAACAGAGATGGATCTACCTCCTTTTCTTCTCCCATTTTGAGCCTTTATCTCTTTTTTTTAATTTTTAATGCACGAAATACCTTTTGTAAAAAGTCTTTTAAGTAATACATTGGATCACCTTTTGTTGACAAATGCTTATGAATCACACAGACAGTATTAACAGAATTTTATTTTGTTAAACATGTTCTCCTGATCACTTTACTCATGGCTTCTTTCACACCCTTGTTCCTCAGACTGTAGATCATGGGATTCAGCATGGGGATCACTGTGGTGTAAACACAGCCACCATTTTCCCCTGCTCCACAGACTCCTCTGTGGGACTCCTGAGATACATGAATATGAGAGTCCCATAAAATATGATGACCGCTGTCAAGTGGGAGCCACAGGTGGAAAAGGCCTTCCTCCTCCCTTCCGCTGAGTGCATCCGTAGAATGGCAATGAGAATGAACAGATATGAAATGATCACCACAGTCAGAGAATATGTCACATTGATGCCTCCAAGAATGGTCATCGTATATTCTTTTACTAAAGTCCCAGCACATGCCATTTTGATGAGAGGTGGGTCTGCACAGTAGAAGTGATTGATCTCAATATTCCCACAAAAGGACATGCCATATGTCCACAGGGTTGCAGCCAGACTAGTCAGAAAGCCATATACATAAGGGAAAGAAATCAGTCGCATACAGACCACCCTAGACATTTTGCTGCTGTACAGCAGAGGTTTCCCAATTGCCATGTACCTATCAAAGGCCATCACGGCAAGAATAAAAATTTCTACATGGACGAGGGCAATGAAGAAGAAACACTGTACCAAACAACCAGCATAAGAAATAGTTTTTGTTTCTGATAACGGATTTTCCAACATTTTGGGGGTCACATTGGAAGAAAACCAGACATCCACAAATGACAAATGACTGAGGAAAAAGTACATGGGGCTGTTAAGCTGTGGACTGACCTTAATTAACATGATCATGCCAATATTGCCTACCACGGTGACAACATAGACCATAAGAAAAATGATGAAGAAGAGGACTTGCCATTCCTGACGACTGGTTAGTCCCAAAAGAATAAGCTCTGTCACATCGGTGAAATTAAGCATTTTCTCAACTCCAAGTCAATATTTTCTCAATTCTAGGTCAATATTCGTCGTAAATCCTAGTGATAACTGGAATGAAATGAATTTAAAAATCAGATATTGTTTATTTATTAATTTATACATTTCCATGCCTCTTCTATCTTCTTTTATTCAATATCTATGCCTGAATTCTGCCATTCTTTACAACAAATCTTTTCTGAGGAATTGCTATGTAGCAGGCTTTCTGAAAGTTACTGAGTGCCTTAGTACATAACAACTATACCAAATATTGTGATTGAAGCATACTAGTACTCAGTATTCTGCTTAGCCAAATTACAAGATTACTTCTTTCTTTCTTTTTTTTTTTTTTAGGATTATTTATTTATTTGTCAGAGAGAGAGAGGGAGCATGCAAAAACAGGGGGAGTGGCAGGCAGAAGTAGAAGCAGTCTTCCCACTGAGAAGGAGCCAGATGTGGGATTGGATCCCAGGACCCAGGGATCGTGACCTGAGCCTAAAGCAGACTTTTAGAGGATTGAGCCACCCAGGCATCCCTAACTCTTTCTTTTTAAAGACTTATTTATTTATGTTAGAGATAGAGAGGGGAAAAGAGAGCAAAGATGAGTGGGGGGAGGAGCAGAGAGAGAGAGAAGGAGAGAGAATCCTCAACCTGATCTCCCATTGAGCAAGGAATGGGATGTTTGGCTCAGTCCTAGGACCATGACATCATGACCTGAGCCAAAACCAGGAATCCGAAGCTTAATTGACTGAGCCACCCAGACACCCTTCCAAGATTATGTCTTAAATATACATTGTTTCCGATAATGGCATGTTTGGTACTTCTCAAGTATTTTAAGGTATTTATGAAGACTTTTATTTCCCTTTTTAACCCAAAGCAAAAATAATTTTTTTACCTTATCACTTTTGCATCATAAGCATAGCTCCATGATTAGGGGTGGAAACCACTTAATCAAATAACTCACCAGCCCCAAGAGTCAGACAAAAAATTGTTTTTAATCTAACCTCATGCTTAGACTCATTTAAACTGATAAAGGACAAACTGACCACACTGGTCACCAAAGCCAAGTATAAAGGGGTAAACTACTTATACACATTCATATATATATATATATATATATATATATATATATATATTCCTTGAATGTGGACCCTTTGACATCTCTAAGTTGAAATTATAAATAATCTTATAATCAACTAAATATTATTGACAATATATCCTATCATATTCTGGAGATTCAAAGATAGGTAAAACAAAGGTATAAATGTCACCACTTATTGTGGAATTTTGCAAACAAACTTTCTATAACCATAATATATTTTTACATAGTTATAGGGAAGTCAGAAAGTAAGGAATGATTCACTTTACTTTGGAGATCCAGTGACATTCTGGAAAAGCTTCTTGGATATTGTGCAAACTTATTTTCAATGTATTTAGCTTCAAATTTCTATTTAACAAATGTATATGTTGTATTATATAAACCTTTTCTCAGGACAATATTCACACAAATTATTTTCTTGAGAAAACACTAGTACCTTGCATGATGTTAATAGGTATTAAGGAGAAAAATCTATAATTGCTTATTTATTAAATAACAATGAGTAATCTCCATATCCTATCAGTGTCTTAGAGATACACATCTACCTGTAAAGTTAAACTATGAGAAGTTTTTTGGAGAAAAAAAAATATGTTATAATTAGCCTAGCTAGCATTTACTTAGCTTGAAAATGAGAAAGATGAAGAAAGAAAATGAGAGAGAGAGAGCTTCCATCATTATCAATGAACATTCATGCTGTAGAACACAGAGTGTACTTCTGTTCAACAGGAATCCTGAGATAGCTTTTCAACGGGACAAGGAATTTGTTGAAGATGGTATTGTGTTGTGCCCTCCAAAGGCTAAATGTCATTTCTAGGGCCAGTGATTGTTTCCAAGACCCTTGTTTTAACCTCCAGCATCACACTTTGTTCAATGACAGTTGAACATATTCATTGATATCACTGGATAGTGACCAGAAAAGATAAGAGTGGGCAGGAAGATACATTTCTGGCCATAATGAAAACAGACTTTTATCTACAAAGGTAACTTCCACCCACCCAACTTGGAAAGAATAATTCTCTTGGAGAAAGGAGAAAGCTTCCAACCAAAGTAGATTAGACTGAGACTATATGACTCCAGAGTCTCAGGTGAATTAATGAAAACTTGAGGCATTATGAAATGACTTAAACATTTTAAAGAATAAGAACAGTTCAAGTTCCATATATGCTAAGGAGTATTATGCCTCCATCAGAAAGGATGAATACCCAACTTTTGTAGCAACATGGACGGGACTGGAAGAGATTATGCTGAGTGAAATAAGTCAAGCAGAGAGAGTCAATTATCATATGGTTTCACTTATTTGTGGAGCATAACAAATAGCATGGAGGACAGGGGGAGATGGAGAGGAGAAGGGAGTTGAGGGAAATTGGAAGGGGAGGTGAACCATGAGAGACTATGGACTCTGAAAAACAACCTGAGGGTTTTGAAGGGGCGGGGGGTGGGAGGATGGGGGAACCAGGTGGTGGGTGTTAGGGAGGGCACGTATTATATGGAGCACTGGGTGTGGTACAAAAACAATGAATACTGTTATGCTGAAAAGAAATTAAAAAAATTATTAAAAAATTTAAAAAAAGAACAGTTCATTATTTATAACTGGATAAACCACTTTGGAATATATTTCTGTATAGGCTGAATGATCTGTGACAGAGTCAATAAAGTTATCACTAAAATCCTTTGTTTTATGATACACAGAATGTCACCTTTTCTGAATAATGTCTGTGTCTTCTGTCCGTCCACCCTCAGCCCTAAAGCCTCATGTTACCTTTATGGGACTCATTCTCCCCTAGAAGAGTTTTCCAGGGATCAACTGGACATGATCATTTAGATTGAAGCATACACAGATACACGGGGATAAATTAAAGCTTCAAGAATGCATGTGACCACATTGAATTAGAGTTGAACATCAATCCATTATGCACAAAGCAGAGTTTCCTTTAAATTAAAGACTAAACAAACTGCTTTGTGATGACTCACTCACTATTCACAGTATGTGTATTAAGACATTGGCCAAGGTTACCTACCTACCAATTTATTATTCTTGTCACAAAAGTTAAATTACCATTTTAAAGAAATATATTTGTGAGCCTCAGAAATAAAAGATGACATCAAATCACAGAGTAGAAAGTAGTAATATGAACATATATTTTGCATTGGGTTGGTTATTACAAATTTTCCCAAATATATACAGTAACCGTGTATAGCACTTACACAACTTCCATAAAGATAATGCACACAAAATCATAAATCAGTTGCATTACAACTGGAAGTTAAGTGACTATGATGGACATGGCTGCCTGGGCTTTTCACCCTTATGCATTTTTCAAAGGTTAATAGAAGAATTCTTACTTTGAAATTCAGATCTATTCCCATGGTATCAAGAATGATGCAGCACAATGAAAGGGTATAAAAGACAATGGTGAATGAACTTTGCAAATCTACATATATGAACAACTGAGAGGTGGTTCGCCAGCTGATAGACAGCAATGGTGACATCACTGAGAGGGGAGTAGTCAGACCTGATCTTAAAAAGAATGAGGTCTGGAAAAAAGTAGGGGGTTGGGGGACCTCATTAGTACTTAGAGGGCTGTCCTCACCATCTAAAGGCAAAAATGCATACACAGACTTCCCATGTTGTATCAGTCTGTATTTCAAATTAAATTACCAATAAAGATGGAGAAACAGGCATGAAAATATAAAGTATTACAGTTGAATAATTCCTTTTCTTGAGGTGCCCAGGTGGCTCAGTCAGTTAGGCATCAGACTCTTGATTTTAGCTCAGGTCATAACCTAACAGCCCTGAGATGAAGCCCAGCATCTGGCTCCATGCTCGGCAGAGCATCTGCCTGAGATTCTCTCCCTCTGCCCCTGCCCCTGCTCTCTCTGTCTCTTTCTTTCTAAAATAAATAAATAACTCCTTAAAAATAATTTTTTTTAAAAAAGAGGTAAAAAAGCATTTCATTTCTGTTGTTAGACTTTGGTTGCATTTTGTCTCCATGACTCATAAAGTTGGGCTGCTTTTATACTTTCTTTGTTTTCTCTTTAATTTCTTTATACCTAATACGATGTACCAGTAATTATAGTACTCATTTTATTATTTAATTATGAATCTTAAAGGAGATATATATTCACATGTAATAAATACACAGGACACAATTATTCTTAAATGCACTCTAGGAAATTAGCACTTCCATTAGTAGCTTATAATAAATAAATAATCAAATCTCTATAGAAAATCTCTCTCAGGGCCTCTGGTTGGTTCAAATGGTTGAGAAACCAATTCTTATTTTGGCTCAGATCATGATATCAGGGTTATGTTACCAAGCCCCACGTTGGAATCTGTGCTCAGAAGGGAGTTGACTTTAGATATTAACCATCTGCCCCTTCTCTCTCTCTCTCCCCACCCCAAATAGGTAAATAAATCCTTTAAAAAAAATTGAAGAAAATCTGCTTCTTTCCCTCTCACTGTTTATTTCCTCCATCCCTCCTGTTTCTCTGTCTCTCCCATGCACACAAATACACACCTTCACACTCAGATAATATCTATGGAATAATTAAGGGCAATTATGAAGAATAAGATAAGATAAAATCCAAGATGCAAATTTAATCTGAGAGATCCAGATACATTTTTATACCAACCTGAGAATGAAGAGAAATATTCCCAGTAAGAATGCAGAAGTGAAAGGCAAATGCTACATAAGAGATGATCAACAATGTATACCAGGTAAAAGAGAACCTGGAAGTCCACAAGAGAATTTTCCCTTAATGTTTGCTTTGAAAAAACAAAAACAAGGAAGAACCAATTAAGAAGTTTGCCTACAAACAACCCTGGGGGCAAGAAGCTCTCTAGAGGAAGAGTCCACTGTTGAGTTTTGTTTTTTAATACCAGATTTGCACAATTTGGTTTTCCCCAAAG